CATTTGGAATTTCGATCTCCACGACTTCTTAGAGTTGTTAGAAAACTTTGATGAGTGATTCCGCCATCGAGGTTCATTTTCTTCATGAATGAATGAAAAAGAGAAACCACGGGATCCACCAAACGCAGTCCGGAATACATAGTCGACATCAAAGTCATCATCAACTTCGCAAAAATCGTAATGCCCTACACCACAAAACAAATGATATTTGATAAGAGTATGCAGCCAAACAAAATTGCACCTGCTGACTCTACAAAATAACAACAAGACACATTCAATGCCAATCACTTAATAGTGATGAAAGCTTAATATAGGAACAGGTCACAAGTCGAAACTGAGTCCACAGTGAGTCAAGAATAGCTGGAAGTTGCTCAACAAAACCAGATCGAAGCCGACAAATAAAACATAATCTCTAGTATTAGCCTTAATGGCTAAAAATCTAACGAAGAGACAAGATCTTGATTGCAAAAGCAGTAAGTAAAGTACATGCCAACAGATTTTCCTACATAGAGTAGTTTATTGAAGAAAAATAGAAGAGCTAAGACATTCGCTTACTTTTACCCCAATTCTGAGAGCCGTGTTTGCCATTCCAGTTTCCTTTGGCTTCCTTGGTGTACTGTTTTTTGAACCACGAGTTTTGCTTCCGGGAGGATGGATTATCGTCATCAAACTCATCATGCCAACTCTGGGAATCAAAATGTTAAACCGCAGCTCTTAGAGATTTACAATTGAAAATGCCATAAACAAATGCTCCTTTTGATAAAAAAAAAGAGCAATGAGAAAACACTAAAAGTCATCCACAAGAGACTAAGAAACCGAGACAATACACTAGCATTTCCCTTTCAATAGTCCCAAATTCTTCTACTTTTGAACCATCAGAATCAACTAGCTAAAACGTTAATTAAGAGCACATATAGGTGTTTTGTGTGTTTTCGTTAAGCTCAAACTCAAATGCAGCAACAACAGCTGAAGCCAACAAAACCAAACAGCAAAAGATGGAATAATACCGTAAACATGTTTGCAGCAAAAGCATTCACATTACGCAGCAATTCTTGCTTTTCCCTCATTCTTCTGAACCTCTTCTTATGAACATTTGCTTTCTGCAGATAAAAAAAAAAAACCGCAAAATCAGTTCAATTCTCTAATCACTAAAGAAATGGTCGAAATTCAGACAAGTAAACCTCTAAAGTTCCAAAATTTCGTCTGCACAAAGAAAACCCAGATTTTCAATCTATCCACGCAACCATCGATCCATATCAGATATACCCACTTTATGAACGACACCAAATCAACGGAAATTGACATCAACGAATCCAATGAAATGAAAAAAGCACGAAAATTTAGCTCGCGAATCAACACAGAATAAGGGTTCCTGACCGATTCCCAGGAAGTGCGACGTTTGCGTTCCAAGACAGGAGTAGAATGAAAAAACGCGATTGCGATTTTCAGGTGAGAAGAGAAGCTTTGTTGTCTGAAAATCGCAGCTCTAATGGCGGCGTTCATCTCTGTGAGATCGAGGAGAAGAAAAAGATCGAGCCTTTTCGCTGTTTTGCAAATGAAAGAATTAAACTAAAAGAAACCAAAAGCCGATGTGACTCGGGCTTGACTCAGTTTGGTCGACTCGCAAAATAGCGCATATTCGTCGCTGGCATTTTAATATTTACCGTCTGGTAAAAGAAAAACATAAGAGGAGTAAAAATTTACATTTTCTCTGCTGCCTCACGAATAAGTTAATATCACCATAAAATGAGTGAAACCACTAGGAAAATTAGAAATATTGTATACGATTTTGTCTTTGATCAAAAAAAAAAAAAAAAGTATACGATTTTGTGTGTTCTTTGGTTATTAAGCTATTAATAGTTCTGTTTCCGATCGGATTTTTCAAACTATTAGTTTTACAGCGGCTTTAATCCAAGTACCACAATACATATGTGATATATAATTTCGACATAGTAAACAAACAAAAATAATGTTTAACTTCATCTTACACACAATACAACTTGATATTTTGGCTCTCGTTTCTAAGACCACCTCCAATGGAGGTTTTTAAGTGGGTTTCTTACAATAAAAAATTAGAAAAAAATAGGAAAGAAAATGAGATGGATTTCTCAAATGAAAAATTCTCGTTAAAACTTGAGAGACTCATGTAACACTTGTCACAACATAATTGA